ACCAGAAAATGTTTCAGCGTTTGCAAAATCCCAATATGTGATGAACATGCTCAAACCATCACAAACTGTTTCACTTCTGAACTGGAATTATATATATATATATATATATATTTGTTAATTTATTGTTGTTTTTATTTCCCCCACCCCTATTAATTTTCAACTTAAACACATATAGGTACGAATGTACCTATCCGTGCTTAAATGGGATAATAAGTTTGGGATTAAAATAAAAAATTTCTACGTAAGGTAAATGTTATAATTTTTACATAAAAGGCATTATCTTTCCTTATTTTAAGATGTCATAAAACATGTACCATTTTTAAATTAAATTAAATAAGTTACTGCATAACAAAAATTAAAAAGGTACACCTGTACCTTTCCGTGTACATAAGGGTTAGGGTGCTTAAAAAAATTTTTTTTTTCGCTTTTACCCTCTCAAATGTTTTTATTTAATATAAAAAAATCTTCACCAATGGCAATGATCTTTGCAGTTTCTTAAATAAAATATAACGCTGTACAAAAAAGGTCTCTTATTATTTTTCGATAAATTGATTTCTTCTATAGTTATTCGAGGTCAAAGTTTGATTAACATTAAATTTTCTGTTTTTTTTAATTTTATGGTATAATTAGCAGACGGGAGGTGAAAGGGGGCAAAACAAGGCAGCGGGGGGGGGGTTATGGGGTACCCAAAAAATGAGCATATGAAAAGTTTTCCAAAATTGTACCATCCTTTTTCTCGCTCTACAGGCTCAGAATAATTATTTTCGATTAAAAGCGTAAACTTGTGAGTCAATTTTCAAATAATTTAGAAACCGAAAAAAACAATCTAAAAAAATATTTTTTTCGAAATTTTTTGGGTAACCCATTTTGTCCCCCGTTGCATTGTTTTGCCCCCTTTTACCTCCCGTCTGCTAATTGTACCATAAAATTAAAAAAACCAGTAAATTTGATGTTAATCAAACTTTGACCTCGAATAACTCTAGAAGAAATCAATTTATCGAATAATAATAGGAGACCTTTTTTGTAGAGCGTTAAATTTTATATAAGAAACTGCAATGATCATTGCCATAAGTTACTTTGATACAGAGGTAAAAAAATTCCAAACAAAAATTAATTTTTTCCCATGTTAATTCAATGGGAAACTAAAATAAAAACAGCGACCTCTTAGAGTTGAGCTGGAACGCCCATAATTGGTGAGGATTTTCTTTATATTAAATAAAAACATTTGAGAGTGTAAGAGCGAAAAAAAATTTTTTTTGAAGCACCCTAACCTACATATGTTTAACTTTCATACCAAGTTTGAAAAATAACATATATATCAAGTGGGGTACAAATGAACCCCATAGTTTTTATGTGATATTGGCTTTAAATATGATGTTTTAGCTAAAGGGCCATCCATTATGTCTTTAGATTATTATAATTCTAGTTAATATTTGCAAGTTGTATTCTTACATTATATATAATAATTATTATATTATAATAATTTTAGTATTCAGTGTCAGTTTAATGTCCAGTTTCAGAGAAAGCAAAGATAATAAGATAAATAATATACTAGAAAGAGACGAGTAGAGTTAAATGGAAAAAAGAATATTCCACAGAAGTAGTCACGTCATATGGGGTTCCTCAGGGTTCGATTTTAGGTCCAGTACCATTTATCTTATATACAAATGATTTGCTTGCAAATATTCCAGAAAGTAAAGTCTGTCTTTATGCAGATGATACATCAATTATTCCCTAAAGTCCCTAAAGAAATTAATATAGGGGAAAAATCTAAAACTATATTAAAAATAGCCAAAGAATGGATGAACTGCAACAAACTCAAATTAAATGAGAAAAAAACACAAATAATAAATTTTTTTGGAGATAGTAAAACTACAATCAAGTTCTTGGGAGTTTATATAGATAGTAACCTTAAATGGAACAAACATGTATCATTAGCAAAAAAACTTACTAGTGCAATCTACTGCATAAGAAGATTAAAACTCTGTGCCAATATGATATCCACAAAAACAGCCTATTACGCCACGTTTTACAGCATTGCCAGTTATGGAATTTTATTCTGGGGGATTTCTACCGATTCCTACAAATTATTTATTCCTACAAATCATTTATTTTACAGAAAAAAGCGATTCGAATAATCTGTGATTTAAAAACAAATGAGAGTTGTAGAGAACATTTTAAAAATTAAAAAACACTTACAATTCCATCTATATTTATTTTGGCAGCAATAAAGTATGTATATTTAAATTCAGACGAATTTGATAGAAATTCTGAAAATCACACCTACAATACTAGGTTCATGAACTTTTTCCAAATTCCACTTCACAAAAGCAAATTGGCACAACAAAGTATTATTCACTATTGGGGAACGAAGCTGTTTAATCATCTTCCAGAATCAATAAAAAAAATAAAGAATCCCAAAGCTTTTTCAAAATCTGTAAAAAGTATTGTGTACATACCGTTTTTTTAATATGTTTTTTATACCTATAGCTATGTTTATTTTATTTTTTTAATTTAATATATATATGTACCTGACGTTTAATGTATTACTTAATAAATGTATCTACCTATCTACCTATCTATCTATCTATCTATTTATCTATAGAAAGTAAAGAGTAGTAAAGTTTCGCTTAAGTTTTGGCCACTTTACCTCCACTTTATAGTAACGTAATCACAACGTGGTATAAACGTGTCTATAAAAAATCCAAGAACGGTGTTGGAACGTAACTGACAGTAAAAAAGTGTTTCCCATTCCACGTAATAGAACCCTTTCTACCACGTGGCGTTTTATCCACTAAAAATGCTCGTGTACATTCTAATTTTTTACATAAACCACATATTTTTGTAATATATAGCTCTATTAGATAAAATAAAGCTGTACGTCACCAAACAGTCCCAATCATCGATTGTGGAGTTCCCAACCGTTACAATACCGTCGACTGCTGCATTTTTTCTCCCTCAAAAAATAATATTTTTGCTATTGCTAAATTTATTCAAAAAAACAATATTCGACCCAATCTTATGCACATAAACCAGATTGAAAATATCGATCGACTGTTGTTGACATAATCCACGTCGAAAGTTGTAAAAAATGATCGCACGGAACTCCATTTTTTGTAAACTGCGCCTGCACGTCAAAAAGTTCTGACCGAAAGGTGCAACTTAGGGAAATATAAAAGGCAACCCTCGTATTCAACACCTTTTATGGTGCTTACATGTACAAATGACCAATAATGAATAGTGAATCTCACAAAATATCCCGTGATGGTGTTACCCCGTGATATTTAATAAAACTAAATGAGTTTGACCTACACTTTTATTGTGTTTTGCTTTCATAATTTAGTAGATATTACAGCTCAGGTTCCAGATTTTTAACCGCAATTAATTATTTTTTACAATGCTTAAAAAGTCTAAAACCTATCCTCCGTGACTTTTACTCTTTCTAGGTTAACCTATAGATTTTCAAATTTCTCAGGTACTAAAAGCATACTAAAAATATCAGTTCACTAAGTTAATTACACAAATCCAAAGCAATCAAATCAAATATAAAATAATTATTAAAAATTAAAAGAAATAATTTTTATAACCATTTATGTAGGTGTAAAAAAATTGATTCTATCCTCCGTGAATCAGTTTTTGCTTTAAATTTTATGCAACGGATGGAGCTTTAATCATTTTAAATAAGCAAAAACATCTGTTTACGGCATTATTAAATTAGAATTTATATGCAGATGAGAGTGTTGTTGTTTTATAATTCAAAAGTTTAAGTTCATTAATTTGCTATTTAAAAACCTATACACTGTGAAGTGTAATATCTCCGTAGGTAGTTTTTTTTTATAAATATTTTATGTATGTTCAATTGCATTTTTTTTTAATATTAAGGTGTCATAAGAAACAATAACTTATTTCAAATATACAAAGGGATGTTTAAAAAAAACATACGAAAGTCTAACCTCCGTGAAGCTATCTTCCGTGAAGCTCTAATATTCAAAATGTATGATTTCTTAAAATTCTTGCATTAGTGCAGAACCACTTATGTTATGTTATTTCAGGACCTAGTGGCTTCCCAAACACCCCATTCTAGACTAACAGTGAAACAACCAAAAATAAAAAATAATCATTTTCATAATAAATTCACCCATATACCTAATAACAATTAATTTGTTAAATCTATAGAATAATTAGGAAAAATAAACCAAATCTATCAATTCTTAATCTATTTTTTAACACATGGAATAATACAACATTTATTAATGTAATTAATTTAAGATATTTCTAGCTTTGTACTAATAAAGAACCTAAAGAAAAATTAGGTGTGGCTTTTAAATCTTTCTCTAAAACTAAAACAGTTCCTTTTCAAGTTTTGTTTCGGAAATCTTTTTTTAACTACACACATTTCGGTTCAGTTTTTTTTTCATAATGTTGAAGATTGACGTCAATATATATAATTTGTAAAGTTTAAATTGAAAATGTCAAGTTTAAAATAAATTATGCCAGCGCCAAGCCCGCCACGCCACTACTTGCCTTCAACTTCACACATAACGTGGAATCGCGATTCGAAGGTATTCAGAATAAATTACTTTTCTATCTTTTTGCAAACTAAACAAAATTTTTGAATTAATTAAAATTTTGGGTCGCATTTTTTTGATCTTGATGATATTTTAAAATATAAACATATGATTTTCATTTCATGTCTGAAAAAACAATGCTTTAATTTTGTTTTTTGTATACAAGCAAATACAAGCAAAATAAAAATAATTTTTTATAACGTGTGGCGACCGTAACCAAGAGAGAATAATAAATAAAATAGTTTGACAAGAACTGTAAAAATAATTTAATAAAATCAATTTATTAGAAGTGAATTATATTGTGTTATTCGGTAATCTACCGGACCCACAGTGGTGACCCCGATAAGAGCAATAGTGCCCTGACTGTTTTTGTGCCCAAGTTGACTTTTGTTCGTCGCGTTTCGCGCATCGTGTTCGATTGGTGATTGCGTGATGGAGGCTTTAGAAGAGCAACTTCAACACCTTCAAAAACAAAATGAAGCCCTTCTGTTGCAACTTCAGCAGCAGCAACAACAGAAATTAAGTGAACAAGACGAAGAAAAAAAGCAGGTTTGTCAAACAACTGAACCACCTTCCTCAGAAGTTCATCGCGTTACTGTGAAGCTTCCGCCCTTCTGGAAGGACAAGCCGACCCTCTGGTTTGCTCAGGTCGAAGCACAATTCATGATCGCCCATATCACCCAGGAAATAACCAAATATTCTTACGTGATTTCACACCTGGACGAAAGGTATGCAAATGAGGTTGAAGATTTAATCACCAATCCACCTGCTAACACACCATATACCATATTAAAGACAGAAATTATTCGCCGCCTGTCAGTGTCAGAAGAGCGTCGTGTGCGCCAGCTTTTAATGGAAGAGGAGCTTGGCGATCGTACCCCTTCCCAGTTTCTCCGTCATCTGCGATCCTTGGTAGGTTGCGCCACAGTCCATGATAACCTTCTTCGCACCGTGTGGATGCAGCGTCTTCCTGTCCACGTCCAGGGGATTCTTCAGACTCAAAATGGACAAACCGGCCTCAGCACCGACACACTTGCTATCACAGCGGACAAGATTATAGAGGTACAGCCTAATACCCCACTACTCGCATCCTCCACCTCTGGTGCGGTCCATGCCATTTCTACTCTGCCTGCAACCGTATCCGACCCATTTTCCCAGCGGTTGGATGAACTTTTGCGTCAGATTTCTGCAATGCAGATCGAGATAAAATCAATCAACCATCATTCTCGGTCACGAAACCACACTTCATCTGGTGATCGTCGCAACCGTTCTTCGTCTGCCAATTCCACATCCAGAACCGTATGTTGGTATCACCGACGTTTCGGCAACCAAGCCACCAAGTGCACCCAACCCTGTTCGTTCATTTCAACAAACTCCAACGGCAGTCAGTGACGGCGGCAGCCGGCTGCCCTACCGGAGGACGCCGCCTCCTTGTTTTAGACCGTACGACAAAACATACATTTTTATTAGACACAGGCTCCGACATTTGTTGTTTTCCTCGGACATTTCTCGCCGATCGTCGATGCCGTGTCAGCTACGAACTGCGTGCTGCCAAGAACTCCATCATCCATACCTATGGCGTTTTAACATTAAATTTAAATTTTGGACTTCGACGTGCCTTTGTTTGGAATTTTGTCATCGCCGACGTGAGTGTTCCTCTCCTTGGATCCGATTTTCTGGCGCATTTCGGACTTCTACCTGACTGCCGCAATAAACGCCTCATCGACAGCGTCACTGGCATCTCCACTCCTTGCCAGTCAGTCAGTATTCCCCAAGTCAGCGTCAAGGCCATTATTCCCGAGTCGCCTGGCAATTCCATCCTGTCAGAGTTTCCTGCGCTCATTCGCCCTGCTGGAACGTTCCGAGAGATCCGCCATTCCACGTTGCACTATATTAAAACGACACCTGGACCACCTGTTTCTTCCCGCCCTCGACGCCTTGCCCCTGATCGCCTAGTATTGGCTAAAGCTGAATTCGATGCCATGCTCCGTGAAGGAACGGCCCGCCGCTCAGATGGACCCTGGTCTTCTCCCCTGCACATGGTTCCAAAGAAACCAGACGGTTGGAGACCCTGTGGCGACTACCGTGGCCTCAACGCCAGAACCGTACCAGACAGATATCCAGTGCGACATATCCATGATTTCACATATCGACTTCGTGGATGCACCACCTATTCCATCATTGACCTCGTCAAGGCCTACACCCAGATTCCCGTCAACGTTGAGGACATTCCGAAAACAGCCATTACAACACCTTTTGGCCTGTTTGAGTTTCCATTTATGTCGTTTGGGCTACGAAACGCCGGACAGACATTCCAACGCTTTATAGATGAAGTTGTCTTCGGACTGGAATTCTGCTTTCCCTACATAGACGATATTCTGGTTTTCTCACGAGATGCTGACGAACATGAAAATCATCTTCGCACCCTTTTCACTCGCCTTTCTGACTATGGAATCCTAGTCAACGTGAAGAAAAGTGTACTGAATAAACCAGCAGTGAAGTTTCTTGGATATGAAGTCTCCTCTGCAGGTACCAGGCCTCTCCCAGACAGAATTGACGCCCTCCGTAACTTCCCTCGCCCATCCGCAGCAAAAGGTCTGCGTCGTTTTCTGGGCATGATAAATTTTTATCGCCGGTTCATACCTTCTGCGGCAAAGCATCAGGCGCCTCTCCACACCGCCCTGTCCAAACTTCGAGGCAACCAGCTTGTGAACTGGACACCGGACCTGGACCAAGCCTTTACTGCCTGCAAAGACAACCTGGTAAAAGCTACGCTTCTGACGCACCCAGATCACAACGCCCAGCTTGCCCTTTTCTGTGACGCCTCCAGTACATCCATTGGTGCCGCTCTTCAGCAGCGTGTTGACGACTCCTGGCAACCACTGGCATTCTTCTCTCAGAAGCTTACCCCACGACAATCAGATTGGCCAGCTTATTATCGAGAACTTCTAGCCGTCCACGCAGCTGTCCGCCATTTTCGTCATATCCTCGAGGCACAGCATTGCACGATCTACACAGATCACAAGCCTTTGACCTACGCAATGGATCAACGTCGCGATAAATTACCTCCAGTGCAGCAGAATCAACTGTCTTACATTGCACAGTTTACGACTGACATTCAACACGTTGATGGATCCGCCAACATCGTCGCTGACGCCTTCTCTCGTGTCGACGCACTAACCAGTGCTCCTGCTGTAGAACTCCATACGATTGCCCGTCATCAAGAAGGTGACACAGAGCTACAAAAACTGCTTACCAGTGACACGGCTCTCCAACTTCAGCTTGTTAACGTGCCTGGATCCAATTTCCAACTTTACTGCGATACAACTACGCCGTTGCAACGACCCTACATCCCTGCATCGCTACGGCGCCCAGTGTTTGAATCTCTGCACAACCTCAGCCATCCTGGAGCCAGAACATCGGCAAAACTTGTCTCCCAGCGCTTCGTTTGGCCACGTGTACAGCAAGACTGCCGTACCTGGGCTCGTGCTTGCCAACACTGCCAGCGTGCCAAAGTTTCAAGGCACACACATGCACCGCTAGGAAAATTTGACCTGCCCTCTTCCAGATTCGAGCACGTGCATATTGACATTATTGGCCCTCTTCCTCCTGCCGGCCCCTATCGATACTGTCTTACTGCGGTAGATAGGTACACCAGATGGCCCGAAGTCTATCCTCTTCAAACCATCACTGCCGAAGAAGTTGCGGAAGCTCTGGTAATGTGTTGGTTCTCCCGTTTTGGCTCTCCTGCACGCATCACTTCCGATCAAGGCCGCCAATTCGAATCTGCCCTGTTCCGAGCTCTCAATGTTGTTTTTGGCATCGAACGATCTCGCACCTGCAGTTACCATCCCAGCGCCAATGGCCTCGTTGAACGATTTCACCGTCAGCTTAAGGCAGCGCTCATGTGCCACCCCGGCGCATCTTGGCTTGAAGCTCTTCCAATAGTGTTGCTTGGACTCCGCAGTGCCTTTAAAGAAGACCTACACGCTTCTCCAGCTGAACTCGTCTACGGCCAGCCACTTCGTTTGCCCGGCGAATTTTTGGCTCGCCCCGTCGGACCCCAACGCCAAGAGGATGCTGCCAGCTATGTTGTACGCCTGCGACAGCGCATGTCTGAACTCCGCCCTGTACCCGCCTCTCATCAGGCTACCCCTAAAGTTTTTGTCTTTCAGGACCTTTCAACATGTTCCCACGTTTTTATGCGTGATGACACCGTGCGAAGGTCCCTGCAGCTTCCATACAGCGGTCCCTATAAAATCAAACGTAGAGATGCCAAGACCGTCACCATCCAATACAAAGGCTCCGACGTTCGTGTGAGTGTGGACCGAGTAAAGCCTGCCTTCCTCCTAGATGATGACGCTGCACCAAGTCTCAAACCCGCTCCAACTCCAGCTTCCATCGTTCGCCCTGCAACGACCCCAGCCCCAACTCCTGCCCTGCTGCCCGACACGGCCATGCGCCCTCCCTACGTGACACGATCCGGCCGCCGTGTTCGCTTTTGTCAGCCCTGACCTCCGGTCTCCGCGTGGGGCTCCTGTGGCGACCGTAACCAAGAGAGAATAATAAATAAAATAGTTTGACAAGAACTGTAAAAATAATTTAATAAAATCAATTTATTAGAAGTGAATTATATTGTGTTATTCGGTAATCTACCGGACCCACAAACGTATAACAATTTTCATATTATTTCACTTATAAGCCTATATAGAAAGACTTTATATTTGTACGAAGTTTAAAAGTCAAACTACTATAGAGTAGAGTCGGGAAAAACAACTCACTTAAGACGTAAATACGGATTATACCTACAAATATTTAATAAATTTAAAAATAAATATATTTTTCAATAAACCAAATTTTATTTTTATAAAACAAACATATATTAGTTATCAAATGCAAAAAAAATACAACATTTTTTAAAAATTTAGGTATTGTAAAATCGGAGTCTTTTCCAGTATTAAGGCATTTTTCTGAGCGGCCAGGACATTTGTGGTTTTATCTTTTATGTTTATTTTCGATTTTTAGGATTTGCTTCTTGGGGGCCTTTTCTTTCATCTCCTATTTTTTTATTTATTTATTTTTTAGATTTCTTGAGTTTCTTGTTCATTTCGGCAATCAACTTTTTTTAAATGGAGTGCTTAAAAATAAAAAAGATGGCAATGAATCATCTACCATAAATCTTAAAGAGCTTAGTAACTTTTTTGCAAATGTAGGGCTGAATATATTTGAAAACCTAAGGGATACCCCAACATTTCTCATGAGGAAACAAGGCGAAATTTTAAAATTAATAAAGAAAAAAATACTACCCACAACCTATATATAAGGCGTCTATTTGCAATACCGGCTGCATCCATTTTAAGATAATTTACAAAATCGACAAGAATATTGCCACTCTTAACACAGAAGGATTTTTCTTTTTTAATTATTTTGATATAGTACCTTTAATGAGTTATTAATTTGAGCAAAAATCTAGTAATCCTATACTGATAGTAAAGATCTTATAAAAACTTGAAGTATGGATGCGGCCGGTTTTGCAGTAAAAATATGGATCTGGCCGATTTTGGAAAAAAATAAAATAGCCTATTTATGCATTTTTATTGTTTATTATAAGAATAATGTAAAAAAATAACAAAGTAAATGTGGTTAGTAACTAACATTCTTTAGTAATTAAATTTAAATGAGTTTAGAAAAAACAATGGTGCGTTCTGAAAACATACCTACCCCAAAAAGAATAAGAGGATAAAACAAGATAAAGATTTATTTAAATAGTAGGTTGTTCTGTTTATTCAGGCGTTTCACAAACTGCAACTTCAGAAAATGCAGAAAACAATTTATTGTCAGTTAGTATTTTTTTAATATTTTAGGAAATCAATTTCTTGCCAATTTATTCCATAATGTTTTTTTCATTAATTAAGGTGTAACTTCACTCAACGATTTTTTGTTAAATGGTGGTTTGTTCTGAGTTTGGTTGTAAAAGTTATATGAGTAATAATGATAAGAAAAAGACTGAAATAGCTTTTTAAGTAAAAATTTATATTATTAATGAAAACTTAAAATTTGCTTTTTAAGTTAAAAAATCTATTTATTTTAAGCGGTGCCTGTTTAACCAGTTCCTAAATAAACAAATATGCGGTATTTTATTTAATTATTATATTATTTTTAATTAAATTATGCATGAAACTGTTCACAGCTTGGTTTACACTTTCTAACATTTCCAACGATCTCATTAGGTATCCACTCTCTTTCATTGTCTAAGGCTAAAACAGTAACCATTGATCACAAAACACTAACCATTGACCCGCAGAATACTACGGGCCGGTTCTTCAATGTAAAGTTAAACTCCAAATTAACAAACCTTCTCTCTAAAAATGAATTGGTCAAAAATGACTAAT